TTACCCAGGCCTTGTATAGCTCCGTCTTTTTTCCTTGTCTTTGGCTAGGCAGAACCTCGGTTTTTAGCACTACATAGTTTTGAATCTGGTAATCATGGAACATTATTTCTTGGAACATTATTCACATGACCACACAGAACAAAATTGTTGGCATCCAAAGACTTGTAGGCCTTTAACTACTCTCTTGCTAAAACACTTGGAGCTTCAATGAGATTGTATATTTGGGGCTGGATGCTTGGTCCTTTCATCTTTTCCAATTTCCATTGGGAGGGTACTATTGCAAATGGAACTGTCAAATAAATGCCGCTTACTTTAACGTTAATTTTGCCGAATCACTGTGCTTATCACTGGGTGACAAGCTGTTATAATATGCTGAAACATTATGTAAATAATATATATACTATGTAATCAATAAAACTTATTTCTAAGACAACGACAAACTCTGTACCGCATCAAATGTCATTCCCCCGCTGTAAATGCTAGTTCTCGCCACCTCGCTGTGAGCGCATCCTGAATGTTTACAAACATGCTAATTCATCTATTGTATCATTGTAAGCATTTTAAAGCTATATAAATATAAACATCTGATATACTACTTTTTGTGAGTGTAACAGAGGCCAGCTAGTAAGTGCTGTGCAGGTAAACCTCACTCTTCTAAACTTTAAAGCTGCTCTAGCGACAGACCCAGAGGCCATGGTCTTTAGCCTCCTTGTTAGAGCAACCGACTCCCATGCGGAAGGTCGCCGGTTCATTCCCAACTCAGAGCGGGTTGGGTTGTGTAGGACCAGTTGGGTTACATTTGTGCCGTGTCCCGGATGGAAGTAGGTTTAGGGGGTGAGTGTAACAGAGGCCAGGTAGTAAGTGCTGCTCAGGTAAACCTCACTCCTCTGACCTCTAAAGGTGCTCTAGCGACAGACCCAGAGGCCATGGTCTTTAGCCTCCTTGTTAGAGCAACCGACTCCCATGCGGAAGGTCGCCGGTTCATTCCCAGCTCAGAGCGGGTTGGGTGGTATAGGACCAGTGGGATTGCGTGAGCAATATGTTTTTTTTGTACACACTCTTTAAATAAGGAAATAAACATGCTAAACTGTGTACACCTCAATCAGATGATGCATAGTTAGATTATGTTGCCAGCTGGGGCGGCACAGTGGCTTAGTGGTTAGCACTATTGCCTCAAAGCAAGAAGGTCGCTGGTTCGAGTCCCCGCTGGGTCAGTTGGTATTTCTGTGTGGAGTTTGCATGCTCTCTTCGTGTGCTCTGGTTTTCCTGACAGTCCAATGACATGTCCCAGCAGACACACATTGTTAATATAAGGTTAGAATAAAGTTGCCAGTGTCTAAAGACAATGTTATTTTATTGTCCAATAACGACGTGAAATTACGCTGATTTTAGGTTGTGTTGGAAAGTGACGAAAATCCACCGTCAAGCCAACATCTTAAACCAGTGTTATATTGACGTCAAATACTGATATTTATTCGTCAGGTATGGCAACCAAAATCCAACATCTGATAGACATCATATTGGTAATGTCCACACAATGTCAAGCTGTAACACAATTAGACGTTAAGATTTTGTTGTTTTTAGGTTGCACTGGAAAATAACCAAAAATGAACGTCGGTCCTACGTTGGACATTGACGTTGGTTCTAACATCAATCAGATTGTCATTTCCAAGTAAAATGCCCACAACATTGGGATACAACATCAATCTGTTGTCATGTTGATGTCCTGTGCCTGCTGTATGAGTGTATGTGGGTGTTTCCCAGCACTGGGTTGCGGCTGAAAGGGCATCCACTGGTTTATTCCGCTGTGGCGACCCCTGATAAATAAGGTATTAAGCCGAAGGAAAATTAATGAATGAATGTTGCCAGCTGTCTATACCTCCATATTTCAACATACATCCAAGAAATATATATATGCTATAAACTAAAGTGCACAGGCTGGCAAACTGCCTATTGCAATGGAGATGTTATAACCTTCCCCAACCTCTGTCTGTACTGGAAACTATTTGCATATTGCATTTTACACATCCTTCCCAAAACATGCTTAAACTTTCAAACATGGCATCTGCACAACAACAGTTTATATATATGGCTATTATATTACAATACACATAGTGAACATACCATACAATGACAATCTTGCTAGGCGCAGGTTGATGAGTCTGACATATAGGCTTATACGTAAGTACAAGGTTTTTACTGAGTTTTTAATGGGATTTATGTGATGACATTGAATGTATTTGAGTTTCTTGTTTTTCTGTGATATGTGTCATGTGAATGCTGATGAGGTTGTGTGGTGAAGCCAAAAATAAATTTCCACTTGTGGACAATTAAGAAAGTAAAGGCTTACATACTGACACAAACTACTATAAACGTCTAAATATATGCATGATTGTACACATACATATTCTAAAACTTAAATTAACCAACAACATACTGTATTGTAATGCGACTTAGAGACCAATCCAAAGAAGAAAATCAAGAGGTTTCATATTTCGGAAAGTCTAAATGTAGCCTGAGCACACCTGAGAAATTTAGCTTGGTTATGTTACAAAGGGTCACAATGAGCAGTATTCCTAACATCCAGAACAGTGGAAAAAGACTCTCCGCTGGGACGTGCAGCCCTAGGACGAATTACATGTTTATCATCTTTATTAACATGATATGGTATATTCTTCCTCTAAACAATAATACGGGCTATACAGGAACCTCTAGAGGACACAATGTTATGATGCCCTTACGCAACCATTTGGATTACTAACATATAGCAGTGGGAATAGATCTGGATGATGAGAAACTGTCCTTTGCAATTATGTCTACTATGACTATTCCTGTTCTCAAACTCTCAGCTGTCCTGGAAATCAATACATCACCCAGAAATGCTACCTTTAAATAGGAGAGGGCAGAAATAGACCCAATTAGAATAGCACTTCTACTGTAATCCTCATCTTTCAGTTGAGCATCCACAATAAAGGATGTTTGGGCGAGAGAGACTTCCAGGAGCAAGGCTGAACTCCTAGATCAGTCACCATGGGACGCATCAAATTTCACAAAGAGGAATTCAGCAGAAAAGAAATAACAAGGAATGAGAATAAGACCACCAAAAGTGTAATTACTGACAAACTGGTGGTCAAAGTCACTTGCTATTGTGGTTGCCAGATTTAGGCAGAGATACACTGCACTGCATATATCTACACATGGTATTAATGTAAGCTGTTCTAGAATTTGATGTAGTCTGTGATTTAAAAAAAATGTTTTTAAATAGGTTTTATGATTGTATTTTCTGCACTGTAACTAGTATTGTGTACTACTCTATCTTCTCTGTGCTCTCTATTGCTGTCACTCAGGCTTGACCTGCCTTCATTAAAAGCAAATTAATTGATGAAAAATCGTGATTGGATGGTAATTCTTCCAGTCTTAGGTTGCAAAGGTTTACTTGTAGGAAAAGCCAACAATTAATTTTTAATAGTTTAAATTACTGATTTAAATTTTATGCCAAAATCATTAGAATGCTGTTCCATTTAACTTCCATTCCATTGAATGTTAAATTTCCTACCATAGATGTATCAAAAACTTAATTTCAGAGAGCATGAGCTTGATTTAGACAACTTTATACGTTGCTTTTCTCATTTTTTTTTTTGCTTTTTTTTTTAATCCTCAGATTTCAGATTTCCAAATACAGTAGTAAATCAAACAAATGTCATTTCCTAACAAACAATACACTGCCTGACAAAAGTTTTGTCATAAATATCAGTTGTAAGAGCAACAAATAATAATTTGACTTCTAGTTGATCATTTGGAAAAGTGGCAGAAGGTAGATTTTTCTGATGAATCATCTGTTGAACTGCATTTCAAGCATCACAAATACTGCAGAAGACCTATTGGAACCAGCATGGACCCAAGATTATAACAGAAATCCGTCAAGTTTGGTGAGGAAAAAATCATAGTTTGGGGTTACATTCAGTATGGGGGCGTGTGAGAGATCTACAAAGTGGATGACAACATCAACAGCCTGAGGTTTACATTTACATTACATTACATTGCATTAAAAACCGCAGGAGAGGGCAAATTCTTCAACAGGATAGCGCTCCTTCTCATACTTCAGCCTCCACATCAAAGTTCCTTAAAGCAAACAAGGTCTAGGTGCTCCAGTATTGGCCAGCCCAGTCACCAGGCATGAACATTATTAAGCATGTCTGGGGTAAGATGAAGGAGGAGGCATTGAAGATGATTTCAAAGAATCTTGATGAACTCTGGGAGTCTTGCAAGAACGCTTTCTTTGCCATTCCAAATGACTTTATTAATAAGTTATTAGAGTCATTGCAGAGATGTATGGATGCAGTCATCCAAGCTCATGGGAGTCAAACACAATATTATTTTTTTTCCACTGCTTCATGGCTTTATATTCAAATGACTTTATATTTAATACTGTACTTTTGTCTAAGCCAAGTCAAACCTTACTCTCCTAATTAAATAGATAAATTTTTTTGTCAAATAACTGTAATCTAGAGGCCTTTGCCTTTTATATAAGCCACTTCTTATACCAAATGATCAACTAGAAGTTACATTAGTATTTGTTCTTAAACTTGGATAGGCGACAAAACTTTTGTCAGGTAGTGTACACCAACAGAAATCTAATTTATTCAATTTTCAGATGATCTATACATCTCATTTTCTAAACATTGACCCTTATGATTGTTTTTGTGGTCCGTAGTCACATATATTTACTATGATCATGTGACTGGCTACCTTTGATTTGACAAATTGTATTTGTGGTAAAAGACTTCTACATTCCCTCAGCAATAAAGGCATTTTAAGACTGGTGAATACAGGACAAAACATGATCTTTTTTAAGTCAGGGCCCCTAAGCTGTCCTGGTAAAAGTGGGATGTTTAGTCACAGTTCTTGTTTCTGACTGTTTATGTGTTTTAGCAATATGGTTTGCCATTTTTGGCACCCAAGAAACACACAAATTAAATAAACTCTCCAAAAAAACTTACCATCTTTCCTGTATAAGGAGATCTCCACCTTCCTTTCTTCAGAGCCCAGTAAGGCTTTGGCCATCTGGGCCACCGCTGGTCGTCCAGTGTGTGGGCCATACAGAAAACTGCATGTACACGGTTTCTGCATGACCTCTGAACGCGTGTAGCCACACATCCCACAAAAGCCATCATTACAGAAGATGATGGCACAGTTTTCAACTCGAGCATTGGCGATGATGAATTTGCGATCTGTTGAGGTACAAGAAAAATAGAAATGCAAAAATTTTATTAACCACATCTATGCAGAATCAAAATTGAGCTGCAGTTCAGAATAAATGTGTCTGCTTTAGCTACATTAAAAGATCTACTGAAACAGCAGCTTACTGAAAATCTGAAATCAATTAGTTTTACATAGGCTACTTTAAAAATAATAATAAAAGTAAAATTATGTTTAATTAACTATTTTTACATATTCAGATAGCAAAAGTAAATGATTACTTAGCTGTTCTGACACGTTTAACTCAAATTAAGTTATTAACGACATTATTATTAGTGACAATTAGTAATTTTCAATGGCAATTGATAATAAAATAATATTAATAACAAAATATTTAATAATAACAATAGTCAGCATTAGAAACTGTTTTAAAAACATAATCAATGCACGTTCACTAAAATAAAAGTCATTCACTTACTTTGACCCTCGAATTTGCGAATGATGGTGTCCAGAAAGGTGTTCTGAGGCGCAACGTGTCCCCGTCGTACAGGCATGTTGTCCTACCACAGCAGGGCAAGAAAGTTCTGCAAGTTCCTCGACAGCTTGTATTTACTTGAATAAGAGCGATATATCGACTCTACCGCGAAGTGTTACACATGTACACAAGCTTTACCTTCACACCACATCGATGTAAAAGCAGCACGAGAGCGCGTCTCTTCAAAGTCTCCAGTGATTACGTGTTAAATCTGTCAGTGCGCGCATCCTCGAGCTCAGTAAATCAGCCGTCTCTCCAATTACCTCACGTCACCTGCTTCCCTTTTTGTTTGCAAATGGATGCAAATCAACTTTCTGTCCCAGTTCACTCAATCACTTTCTCCGACGCGCTGCGAAACAGCCCCTCTCTGTGTTTGGGAGCGTTTAAAAATAAAATTGACTAAAATTGCATAGATTGATAGTGAATATGGAGAGGCAGTGAGAGGATGGTTGGGGAGGGGGAGAGTCAAGGGTGTGGAGGAGCGCATGATTCACTCATCCTGATGTTACCTCTCCATGTGTTAGTGTTCGGAGGGCGCAAATCCGATTTAAAGTGTCACACCGCGATTGTAAGTTAGACTAGGTTGAGCTCAAGCTGTAATTCTCACAACTGGTATATCACAAAAGCTAAGAAATTGTGTCTAGTACTGTGTTTGGATAACATGAATGAAGTGACCTCCAGATGATTTCCATGCATTTGCACACAACATTCAAAGTTATAAATACATATAAAATATAAAGATGTTTTATTTGTTAACTTAAAATTATTAATTTAAATACAGAATTGTTTTTTTATTCATTCATTCATTTTCTTTTTTAGCTTAGTCCCTTTATTAATTCGGGGTCGCCACAGCAGAAAGAACTGCTAACTTATTCAGCATGTTTTTTTTATGCAGCAGATGCCCTGCCAGCTGCAACCCATCTCTGGGAAACATCCATACAAATTCATTCACACTTATACACTACAGACAATTTAGCCTGCCCAATTCACCTGTACCAGAGGAAACCCGCGCGAACGCAGGGAGAACATGCAAACTCCACACAGAAACACCAACTGACCCAGCCTCTTGCTGTGAGGTGACAACACTACCGACTGCACCACCGCTGACCATGATATTTTATATATTATATAATTGTGTTAATTTTAATGTTATTATTGCATGTACTAAAGCATGTTTAAAATAAGAAAGTACACTTAAAAATAACTCATCAGATGAACTCAATTTACTGTAACTGAGGGTAGGATTTCCATCCTATCAATTTCTGTAGCACCAACTAAAAAAAAAAAAAAACAGTTTACACAATTGAATGCATTTGAGTTGGTTCAACATAATTTGATCAAATATAAGTTTAAATACATTTGTATTTTTATTTAACTTAAACTTAAAGGTCTGATAATATCATGTGTGTCTATTATGTGTCTTATATTTCAAAGTCTCTTTGATTTATTTAAAGTTATCCTAAATTAACTAAAAGTGCAATTTTAAGCTTATTTCACGAGTTACATGTACAGTTGATTGAGACTCATCTCAGAACTCATTTTAGGACAGTTTTTGCTTACTGAGCAAAGCAACAAACTGCAGTTTTGCTAATTAAGGTGCCAACACCCAAAGCATATGTGCTTCTGCAAGGTGATTATCTCAAAACTCAAAAGGATTACATGAAAATCTTTTAAATCTTTAAAAATAAAGGGATGATTAAACTCTAAAAAGTCTTTCTATTAACTTTAAACACCTAAGATTACTTTTATTGTCAACATTTGCCTCTCTTAATTTAGTCCCATGCAAAGCACACTGGGAACTACAAGTCCACTAACCAGGTATTGGACCATTACAATTCCTTCATGTTGTCCCAACACAAAACACTTAAGTTAACTTAATGGTTTACAAGTTTAAGTGGATTGAACATTAAACAAATAAATTGGCCAAAGAAAGGACAAGAATTGTGTTGTTTCAGCTCATTTTAAACAGATAGTTTGAACAAGCAGCAGAAATCATTTTTAGTGTAGTATTTGATAAGGTCATTAACACACAATGAACTAATGTTTAGTTTCTTAACATAAGATAATAGTTTATTATTTCCCTTCACTTCAGAGTTAATGTAAAAAGACATTAATTTAGAGGGAAATTTAAACCTCCTTCACTGGATCAAGAATTGGCTCCCAAAGTGTGTCCAAAGAGCAAGACAAGTAAAATCATAAAAATGATTACAACTGTTGTTTCTCCTTTAATGAATGCTATAAAAAAGCTAAATCAGGTCACATTTGTAAAATATTAGCTTTTTAACCTCATATAATAAAGGGAGCTGTCTTCGGTAGCTACAAGTTTAGCTACATTTTGACAGTAGCTCAGCTACTTAAGATACAGTGTAACTTTTCCAGCAGCTACTTTTTTCCAGAAAGTAGCAGTAGCTTGACAACAGCTGCATTTTATGTAGTGAACCTGCAAAGGTCTGAGGCAGCACAATGTTACAAGATCACATATGATTGTGTACTGCAGCCACATATTGGTTAATCATACATATCATAGACTTGCATTCATGTATTACTCTTATTAAATTAAATAACATTAAGTAATATTATATAACAAGTAGCACGTTCGCCTCACTGCAAGAAGGTCGCTGCTGGGTCAAGTTCAGGCTGGGTCAGTTGGCATTTTTGTGTGCAATTTGTATGTTCTTTCTGTGTTTGTGTGGGTTTCCTCCAGGTGCTCCGGTTTCCCCCACAAATCCAAAAACGGTATAGGTGCACTAGGTATGCTAAATTGGCTGTAGTCTATGTGTGGGTGTTCCCCAGTGTTGGGTTGCGGCTGGAAGGGCATCTGCCGTGTAAAACATATGCTGGATAAGTTGGCGGTTCATTCCACTGTGGCGACCCCTGATCAATAAAAGTACCAAGCTGAAAAGGAAATTAATGAATGAATAATAACAAGTGACAGCAGTTAATATTCAATATAGTATTCTAATCTAATTTGTTTTGCTAAGTCAATGCCATATTGGTTGCAGCTTTGTACTTTGACTTTAAAGTTTAAACAGTCTGAGAAATTTGAAAACTATGTGTAATAAAACGTTAAGTTTAAAGTTGTACTAACATTTTTGTAAAATACACCTTTGTGAAAAACATAGCTTCAATGTCTACTTGGAGGAAGTTACTTGTAGTGTAGCTACAGATACATTTTAAAAGTATAGTTTGACTGAAGCTTTGCTGCTGCCGGTTAGCTTGTAGCTTATCAAACTACAGTTTCAGAATAATTTCTCCAGCATTGATAGTAAGCTGTTGATAACATACAGTACACAAATAAAATTCGTTCACTTACTGATAAAATTATGTTTTCGGGTGACATGCACAACAGATTAGATTCCAGCACTGTGATGTTACTCTTTGTCTGTGTCGCATAGCATGTACATGACTGTGGGTACAGTATATGGGTGTGATCCTTTGATAGGGCTATGTTTGTTTTGGTGATTACAAATATCAACAGCGTTTTCCATTATTTATGAACTTATTTATGAACAGCCTAAAAATAAAATGTTGCTATTAAAGAATGTATCTATCTCTAAGGAATATACTATATTTGTCCTGTGCAAGACTTAATAATTGCAATGCAGCCTTATTCCTCAAGATGGCAATGTCTGACACTCAATGCATTGAAAACGCTTCAAGAAAAATATAAAAAAACGAAATTGGTATTGTTTGAATGGCTTTATTATTATGCAATTATACTTGTTTGTGGAGCCGTCAATGAAGAAAATATTAATTTTAAAGATGTTGGAACAATATTTTTGAGATTATTATTAAGCTCTCAATGAAAATTAAGCTCTTAATGCACTGTTCTTGAGCTCTTCTAAAGGGCAAACAACGTTTGTAGATGAGCCAAATCATAACAAACAAACAAACAAACAAAAAATAATTAAACAAACAAACAAACAAACAAATAAATAAATAAATAAATGTGCAGTCTGACAAAGTAGGATGGTAAAATTATCTGCTAATTGTTATCTTTTTGTATTTAATATAAATAATCAGGAAACTGGGAAGGTTTCATATATAACGGATGGAAAACAGTTAGATCAGTGAACAGTCTATGTAAAGTTTTACAATTCCCAGAAACCCAATTCTTTCATGCGCGCTCACAAAATAAATAACTAATTGACTATTCTTATACATGTAAAAATTTTCTAACTACATATAAAACTTTTTAAATTGAGCTCAAAGTTTAAAAGAACTTCAAATATTTTGAGATATGAGAAGACTGACCTCAGTTCTAACACAACTAAAGCTCTTATCAGAATCTTATCACAGTACAGGTCAAGGTGTGTGCATGTGCCATATACAGTCTATAATATTCCATTTAGGGTGGTTAAATGCTGAACGTTTCACTGGTGTTTGTGTAGAAAAGAAGAAAATGAAAGTTTATTTCTACTTTTTTTAAAATAGATGGTACTTTTTTAGTTTTTGGGAGATAGGGGTTGATCTGCCTTTAAGTAAGGCAAAATATTTGTAATAATTTTTGCATATAAAAAAATACTGTATCTGCTTAAACATGTAAGTTAAACAATAAAACAGCAAGCACAATCTTTTTGGATAATCTATTTTTCAGTGCAGGGATGCATGTCTGTCACTGTTTGGTGAGACTGGTCATATTATATACAAATTCATTTTTGATAATTAAATGTCTTTGGGAGAAAATAAAAGAAACAAGATCTGAATTTGAAAATGCAGTGAAATGCATCTCTTCAAAAGCATTCTCACATTGACAATACTATCTCTTGTTTAAATACATTATGAACAGCTACGGTAATGATTATCTTTGCTCTCTATTTCCATCTAGGATGCTCATTCTGAGGCCTCCTGAGATTGTGTAGATCCACTTGATCAAATCCAAGACCTGTGAAGAGATAATGTCAAGCATCCAAGGCCTTTGAGGACAGCACATACACTTAATGCCCTTCACTGAACATTTTTTTGGAAGTACACTATATAACTGCAGGTTAAATATGTTCATGTACGATGTCTGCCCGATACACATCTTCTTATCTTTTTCTGATTTTGATTTGAATGCAATATGCGTGCACCTTTTGTAAAGCTGCTTTGAAACAATTAATATTGTTACTAAATAAACTAATGTGGCACAGTGGCTCAGGGGTTAGCGCTGTCACCTCACAGCAAGAAGGTCACTGGTGCAAGTCCCAGCTGAGCAGCATTTCTGTGTAGTTTGCATGCTCTCCTCGTGTTTGTGTGGGTTTCCTCCGGGTGCTACGGTTTACCCCACCGACCAAATATGCGGCATACAGTAGGTGAATTGGGTAGGCTAAAATGGCCTAGTATATGTGTGTGAATGCAAGAGTGTATGGATGTTTCCCAGTGTTGTGTTGTGGCTGGAAGGACATCCGCAGTGTAAAACATATGCTGGATAAGTTGGCGGTTCATTCCACTGTGGTGACACCTGATGAAGAA